ATTGACACAGATTTGTGGTGGTGACAAACCATTTCTGGCACCTAATGATCTACAGGCCAAACATCTGGCGCTTAAGGAAGAATCTGTGAAGCTATTCCGAGGGGTGAAGAAGATGGGTGGGGAGGAATTTAGCCGGCGTTACCTGCAACAGTTGGAGAGTGAAATAGATGAACTTTACATCCAGTATATCAAGCACAATGATAGCAAAAATATCTTCCATGCAGCTCGTACCCCAGCCACACTGTTTGTTGTCATCTTTATCACTTACGTGATTGCTGGTGTGACTGGATTCATTGGTTTGGACATTATAGCTAGCCTATGCAATATGATAATGGGACTGACTCTTATCACCTTGTGCACCTGGGCATACATCCGCTACTCTGGGGAATACCGAGAGCTGGGAGCTGTAATAGACCAGGTGGCTGCAGCCTTGTGGGACCAGGTAAGAATACTTTTAATCCTCTTCAGCTAATTGTAGCACACTATGTATCAGACACAATGTTAGGTGTTAGAACTAAACAGGTGAACCTGACTCGGGCCCTAGTCTTCAAGAGCTTTAGAATCTGTCAAGATGGCCAGACACAAACAACTAACTGTAATACAATATGTGAAGTCCTATGTAACTGGTTTCCAGTTAACATTTCAGTGTCTTCAAATATCCGTGGATTAGGCAGTTTTGTTTTTTTACTTTTATTTATCCTAAAAGTTAAAGCTGTTAAAAAGAAGTGTGAGAAAGCACAGCTGAGTTTTTATTGAGCGGATTGTGACTTGTTTATGTGTGAAGATTATTTCGTACTTACAACCTAACATTTGATTCGCGTTGGCTGTGTATGTGAACCACTATCCTAAGTTGTTGTATCACTATCTCTTTTAGTATAAACTCCTAAAAAGCAAAAGAAAGATCTGATTACTTCAGATTGTCTCTATCTGAACTAGGCATTTGTACCGGGCCACAGCATGAGTCCAGGTCAGCCTCTGGATCAGCTGCTCATGGGTCAGTTGTCCTTTATGTTTCAATTAACCATAGCCTAGAGTCAGGGTCACTGTGGTCCACTGTTCAAATAATTGATGATGGGTGGGTAGGGAAGACAATTATAAACACACCTAGAACGATCATGAACTCACTCTGTCATTCTGGAAGTGTCTTCAGTTACCTCATGAAAATTTAGGGGCATTTAGTGAGGCTAAAATTGAGATTCTTCATAAACTTTTAGAGTTAAGACTTTTGAACTTATGTTCTGCAGGTAGCATGTAATAGCTACAATTCTCCCAGCATTTATACTTACATATACTCTTTAAAATGGAATTTTAACTAATGAATTTACCATGTGCCTTTAAAGAATCTAGTTAAGATAAACTAATGGTAGTACTGTGGGTAAAAAATGAATTAAAAACTGAATCCTCTGGGCCACTGTCTCAAACACCTCCTCAACCTTAGAAGACTAAAGAGGGGCTATTTGAGGTAAATCCCAAAGCCTTCCTAGAATATGATGCTGAAGCCTCTGGGGAATATACAATTGGGTTCTTCGAAAGATTCAGATAAAACGTGTAATCTGAACTGAAAAAACCTGTAGGAGTATTTGTTCTTAAATGCTCAGAAATACTATAAACGAAGTTGAATTATCATAATGCTATTAATGAAGCAGGATATATACTTTTCTTTTTTCCCTTTTAAACTGCCTTTGCCACAGGGAAGTACAAATGAGGTAAGTTAAAATTTTTAATTGAGAGCTATATATTTATAAAAATTATGGTATTTTATAAACCAACTAGGCATTCATGGATTAAAGTCTTTGGTGATGGACTGAGCACTGGGTGTTATATACAACGGATGAATCACTAAACTCTACCTCTGAAACTACGAATACACTGTATGTCAATTGAATTTAAATTTAAAAAAATCTTTGGTGACACCTGCTCCTGTGTTCTTCTAAGATTCACAATTTTAACTGTGAATTTTTAACATGGTTTTAAAATACTGTATTTATTCCAGACATTTTATGTGATTTGATCTGCATATGAAACATAAGAGTTGATTATCAAGAGTATCCTGTTTTATTTCCTGAATGTGTAAAAAATTCTAAAATTCTTAAGTTCCAACATTGTGCATTTTGCTCTACTGCATAGTGAAATAAAAAGTTATGCATCTTGAGGAAACCTAACAACTAGAGAGTATTGAAATGGAGCTACAACCTTTAGATGTTTTTTAACGCGGGCTTTTGAGTGACAGTTACCTTTACCACTCTGAGCAGGTTCCAGGCCAGTATAAAGTGTAACTTTCTTAGCATTCCTCAGACCGACCTGTAAATTGGTGTTCATTTCTCCTATTGCACATGGGCAAAACTCTGAGGTAAGAACCGGGGCTTGCAGGAAAGAATCCTTTGTTACATAAGAAAAATTATCTCTGTAGAGTTATTCTGGTCATTATCTTCAGGAAGCAAAACTGATCTGGAACAACCACTGAGATAGCACATCATTCTTTCCTCAGTTTCTGCTGTTACATATAACTGGAGTGTGTCCTAGTCTAATCAATACCAATGATACATTTAATACAAGCAATAGAGAAGTATTTTATGTAAAATTCAGTAAAACAAATTCATTAAAAAAGTAAATTTCTAAGTTGAACGTTAGGATTATGATAGATCTAGGACAATACCAATTTACACCAATGTGCATTCACAGAACTGATGGCATTATTTAGACTTAAGAAAACAGCTATCGAGACTTCAAAAAGATAAAAATTAATGGAATTTCCTGGGCATTGGTTACTATTTAAAGGATATTAAGCTTTTAAAAATATTCAGACTCTTCACAGACTCCAGAATTACATCAGAAAAGTTGGTTTTAACTGAGGGTTCAATATATGAAAATCAGAAGAGGGAATGAACCTTAGACATTTACTGAGGGGGGAAAAAGGACAAAAATATTCATGGACACTTATGTAAAGCAGTATGTAAAAATTGCTATGATTCAAACACTGTAGACACAAAGAACAACCAGAGCTTTATGAGAAAAGGCTTTCTGAGGTAATGCTTCTGAAAAATGTTTCATAAGATATAAATCAAATAATGGAAACAAGGGAGGGAAGAGAATGTTTAAATGAAGGATCCCAGTGTGGCAAGGGGAGGGGCAACATATGTACTTACTGGCATGACCACATCCAGAAATAATGGGGAAAAAAATGGTTCCATTCTGAAAAACCTGTAAGGAAGCCCGGACAGCAAGTGGCCTAGCTGCGTATAATAAAACAGCTATTGGCAGTCAGAAGTTATGAGATCCTATAATTCCTCCAAAACTGGTAATATTCACGATATGAGTTCTCAGCACACCCCTGGGGCACAGTGTTTAGGAAGCCCTGCTCCAAAAGGTGTGCAAAGTCCAAGGAAATGCAGTCTGAGAATAAACCATTTACCACCACAAAGATCAATCCACAAAAGCAAAAACATACAGTGGACAAGCTAAAGTATTTTTGAGTTCTAAGATTATTAGTTATTAATTTATATCTTAGACTAATGACATAAAGATTCCACATTTAGCATGCTAATTATATAGTACATAAACTAATTACACTAAAAAGGAAGAATTTTACATCTGTGATTATAATCTTGATTCTTGTCTTTCTAGGCTTTATACAAGCTTTACAGTGCAGCAGCAACCCACAGACATCTGTATCATCAAGCTTTTCCTGCGCCAAAGTCAGAATCTACTGAACAATCAGAAAAGAAGAAAATTTAATCCAAATTTTTAGAAGTACAGGTGCATGACCAATTAATTGTCAGTTAAATATTCAGTTTTATGTCTCCATGCAAACATTCAAAGTGCTTCTGTGAGGACAAAGTAAAATACCAAGCTCCTCTGAAAATTTCAAAATGGTTTAGTTCTTTTACTTCAGTGTTTAATAAGCAGATGTATGTATGCATGGTTATATCATTTTTGTTAACATGTACAGTTTCTTAGTTTTGTCTTCAAATATGCTGTTATAATTTAAAGTGTTTGTCTATTTATGATGACAGTACACATGTTCTGCTTGAATTTACTAAATTCTACTACTGGGTTATAATTAAACCATGTAGTAATATTACTCCTTGTTTGGATATGCTCATTTAATTTCTACAGAATTTTTAAATTATTTCACATAGTCATCCATTTAAGCATAGCATAACAACTCAACAGGCTTGATTCAATCTGTATCATCTTATATATACCATGAGCTTTTATTTTTAAAGACACTTGAGAGCTTTTCAGTTGCTTTATCAAAAACTAAATACTGCTTCTTTTATATTATGATTTAATATAGAATATAAACTTCTTGATCAAAAATGCACAAAAAATCACTTTGTATATGTACTTGAGTTTCACTGCATTGTATATTTTTTCATTTGGTACACAAAGAAATGTATTCTTCATAGGTTTATTCTTTTAACATGTGACCTATTATTAAAGTTTACTCTGGTTCCTAATATTAAAAACAAATACTGAATTTGGAAATGTTTGGGAGGTACTGATACAGAATGATAAAGGTTTATCTCTCTTTTTAAAATTAAAAATGCATTTTCTTCAGTGCTGACAACCATTACAAATCTGAGTTTCCACTTTAAGAAATGTATGCTAATCCCTTTTTTAGGTACCTTTCAGTTCTTTTAAATCAGTGATTCTATAATCTGGGAGCTCTAAAATAGTAATTTCTAACTTCCTTAGAAATGGCTTAGCCATGTTTAAATTAAACAGTAATACAAAATAATGAGTAACAGGAAAGAATGATTAAGATAGAAGACTATATGAGAGTTCCTAAGACATATAAGCCTACATCTTAGAAAAGTTTGATTACATGTTCTGAAAAATAACTTTGCCAATTAATAAAATTCTACCAGCTTATTTTCATTTTTTCAATATCCCTTTCATTATATACTGCTTCCTTTGCTTTTTGGACCTTCTGAATGGAAAAATCAAATATTTATAACACTATGTAAAAAACATGGATTCAAACATGACACATTTAGTTTCCACAAAAATATATTTAATAAGCTTGTTATATAAAATCAAACATTTAACATTTTCAACATTTTATCAATTCAAACTCACGGATAACTAACTTGGAGTGCTTTGTATTTTGGAAGATTACCTAAACTAAAAATATATTTACATATTTACAACACATGTAAATGTAACTGAAGAGCTACTTCAATTAATATTGAAATTCACAGAATTCTAGAGATCTATAGGCTAAAAATGCCATAAATTTTTCTGTAATCAAATGTACTGTACTAATTATGAACAATGTCTTAACTATTAAAAGGAAAAAATCTGGGAGGGAAATGGTAGGTTTTAAAGTTCTATGACAAATCCTTAGAAGATAAAAATGTGTAAAATCAATTTAATGACCAAGATTTCTTAATGAATCCCTGATTGTCATTTTTGGCAGCTCAACCCAGTCTGTGGGGATGGCAGTGTGCTACATACTGTCGGGGACCCACCACTGTCTCAGAGCCATGGTACTAAATGCTTTAAGAGCCCTGGTCAAAAGTAAGGAAGTGATAGCAACTTTTGAGTGCTGTATACACCTCTCCCATACAGGCTAAGACCTTATGCCTACATTTATTCCTAAAAAATTACAGGCCCTTTACCCTTTCATACCAAAAAATATGTTCTCAACATGTTTCAAAAGGGTTCTTTACGTTTTGGGAGGGAACCCTATATATTATATATATATACATTTATCACAATTAAGGTCCCAAATCCCATTCTGTGTTTTGAACTGCACAATGGTAATATTTAAACTAACTGATTCCAGATAATATTCCATATTAAAGCAGTACACATCTTTTTTTTTAAATACTGCATAGGTTCTGTTTTTTAAAGAAAGATATTGCTACTGTCCAAGTTTACCAAGTGATCATTCCTATTTAATATCTGGTTATAATGAGACATTTCTTGCTGCATTTGTCTTCACTGAGAATATTCAAAGCAGTTTCTAATATATAGCATTTAGAAGTGTTTGCTGTGTCGGCTCTTAAAATAATAATCATTTTTTTCTCAAAATATTTTTAATAACAAAATACATGTAAAATTAGAATTTTTAATTTCCAAAAAGCTGCCTTTATTAACCAAAGTACTTGTTTGCAGTTTTTCTAATCTGTGAAAATACTTTAAAGCCCTTACAAAACTTAAATTTTATTTTTAAAAAATTAACTTAAAAATTCTTGCCATGTTGCTGAGCATACCACTGCTGTCTCTGCTTGCGGTTTTCCAACTCTGTGAGAAGAGCCTGTCTGTAGGCTTCATACATTTTAACAATCTGTTCCAGTTCTTTCATGAAAAGCAACTTTAGCATTCCCTGGTATGTATCCAGGTCAGCCAGCTGGAAGAGTTCCCACTTCAGAATGTGGTCATATCTGTTTTAAAACATAATCATGCATATGTTCACAACACATACATAAATATGTATTTACAGCAACAAACTGATCTATTTTTATAAAGATCAACTTTATTACATCTAAACAAACCATAAGCTTTAATTAAAAATAACTCAGTTGTTAACTTACTTAAATATACTATTTTTTTAGGGGGAGGAGAAAACTGCTGATGCTACTTCATTTCAATTTAAGTTAAAAAATACCAATTTCTTTATCAATTATTCTACTATTAACATTAGACAACAATGAACACAGATTTCAAACCACTGTGGTTCTATAATTTCAGAAGAATACATATTCTACGCTATTCATAAGTTCACCTAAAGTTTAATTGTCAGGAACTTAAGAATGCTTTAGACCATATTATGCCCAAAGACAATACATAAAAATGGGCAAAGTCACTTGTGTTATTAGTGTTGACAGAACTTTCTGAGGAATGCTGTTCACTACAGCAAACAAGGAACTAAAAGAGGAATGAAGAGGAACCATCATTCGTGGGCTCTTTTCCTGAGGTTGATTAAAACAAAACAAAATCAGGCAGAAAGGGAAGAATAAGTTACTTTCAAAATGAGAGTAAGTATACTGTAGAAGTATGTGGAGAAGGACTCATGTTAGCTTGTATTTACATATATCTCAGAAGGCCTTTTAGTACTCCTGCAATGGTAAGTTGATCCCATACTGACAGGGAAGTATGCAACAAAAACAGTAATTTAATTTACACTCTGAACTGAAAGACCTGAAGACATCACTCTGATCCAATTTCCCCATCTTACAGATCAAGAAACAACCTAAAGAGGCCATATATTTCTTGCAAAACTGTTTAGTGACCAAAAAATGAGAAAGGCGGTGTTATGGACCAAACTACTTCAGAGTAATAGTTTTGAATGTTGAGATTAGACAAAGAACTTGAACTACAGCAGGTCATATACCTGTATGATAGTGAAGTTACACTTCTCAAATCATATTACAGAACAGATATAATCAGAAGCTTTGTAAATTCTAGTAAATTTATTTTTAATAGTCATTTATAATATTTCCTACCCAATGATCCTTTGTTTGGTAATTCATTTAACATCTTATTCCAAAAGGATTCTCTAATATATATTTTTAAAAGGTTTTTTAAAACGAGAAACAATAAACAAATAATGAGCAGTCAGTATGAGTCACAGACTGTGCTTGGCACATTGACTTATATTTCTGTACAACTTGGGTACGTGTAACCAGGAATACCAGGAGTACAATATGAAGAACCACAAGAGAAACATATCTTGTTGGATCCCAAATTTACCTACTTAATTACTTGAGTACTGCAAATCTATTAATAGGTATACTTGGTAGAAAGCTTTATATTCTCTTTAGTGGGAAACTCCAACATAAATTAGAGAGATACCATAAGAAATACTCAATGAGCCTCTATGAAGTAACAGTTGTGTTTCCTAGAACCTCTGCTATTCATGTAGCTTAGGATCTTATTTGTTTGAAACAAATTCATAATTTCTGTCAAAAAATCTTAACCCTCTAGAGTCAGAATTCCATAGCTAACGGGCATTTCAGCAATGTCTACTGATTCAAAATGCTTAAATTCTGAATGCCAGTTGAATTATAAGAACATTAAAGCTAATTTATCATGTGTACTTTCTAGCAAGTAAAAAGGGAGAAGACTAAATTGGTAAATATCATACTTGTTTTAAGATATGAACATCATTCTGTATAAGCATTCAAGTTTTTAAAAAAGGAAAAAGAAGGGGCGCCTGGGTGGCTCAGTCAAGCGTCTGCCTTCAGCTCAGGTCGTGATCCCAGGGTCCTGGGATCAAGCCCCACATCTGGCTCCCTGCTCCACGGGGAAGCCTGCTTCTTCCTCTCCTACTCCCTCTGCTTGTGTTCCCTCTCTCACTATGTCTCTATCAAATAAATAAATAAAATCTTAAAAAAAAAAAAAAAGGAAAAAGAAAAAAAGCTTCAGGCAATTTCCTGACTTCCCAATCACAGCATTTAGCATCAAAAATAGGATTAAGGGTAGAAGCAACAATCAGAATACTTACAGAAAATCCTTTGGGAAGAAGAAAAAGTGCTCTAGAAAAGCACAGATGAGAAAAGTATGCAAGGCACCCATTTGCATTCCAAAATCTTGCCCCCTGCTGTTTCTATGGGAATTACTTCCCTTCTCATGTAATACTTCCCAATACACTGTTTTGTTGTTTCTTAGGAAAAAATATAAAATTCCCATTCTTTTCTTCTTAACTAGACAAATCATCTGATTCCCCAGGTTTAATTTTTAGTCACTTAATGGTTTAAACATACAGGTAGGGGTGCCTGGATGGCTCAGTTGGTTAAGCGTCATCAGATTCTTGATTTGGGCTCAGGTCATGATCTCGGGGTCCCGGGGTTGAGCCCCTACATTGGGCTGCCCGCTCAGTGGGGAGTCTGCTGGTCTCCCTCTCCCTCTGCTCCTCCCACCATGTGCTCACTCTCTCAAATAAAGAAATCTTTAAAAATATATATATACAGGTGGGGCGCCTGGGTGGCTCATTCGGTCAAGCATCTGCCTTCATGATCTCAAGGTTGCCTGAGATCCCTGCTCAGCAGGGAGTCGAGTCTGCTTCTCCCTCTCCATCCCCCACGCGTGTGCTCACGTGCACACTCTAATAAATAAAATCTTTAAAATATATATATATATACACACACACACACACATATATATATATATATTACATATATACACACACAAGTAAATCATTCAGAAAATAGGCTGTAAACTACTTCAGCAGCCTATGCTTATTGTATCACTTCAGCTGTTTTTCCTGGGGCAGTATTCTACTTATAAGTAACCCATGTATACAAACATCAACTGCTGTAATCCTGCAAAAAATGTGTTCACACTCCAGTGGATGCTTAAGGAGCCAAAAGTGCTGCTATTTCCAGCTCCAGGGATCACAATGCAGCCTAAGTCCCTTCCCTGGGCCTGCCCTCCTAGGGTGTGCCTACTCTTCCTTTCTGCCTTCACCCAGAGCTGGGGCGACGGTGACACTGCAGGACTGCCAAGGCAGAGGAATAAAATACGATCCATGCCACGGTACTGTTGGGCACTGGTGTTGGGGGGGGGGGTGGTGAGGAATAATGGAAAGTACGTATGTTCCTGATGGTCTTTTTCCTGTTCTATACTAACCTTATCATTTATTCTGTAGTTCAGCTTGATTACAGTTGTAGGACGCATTACAGACTTTGGTGAGCAGCTTCAGAAACATAACTTTAGTTAAATTCATAAATAAAAATTTAGAATATAAACTAAGTCAAGTTTGGAAGTATATGCAAAAATTGTTTTGGTGAGTTGCTGCTAGAGATAGAATTTTAAAACTTCAGGAAGTTAGAAGATGGGCAATTGTTTAGCAAAAGGAAAAACATGCTAGTTTTTTGACTAAAAAACCTCTCCTTTTGTTAAATGATTCTTCATTATCTACTTCATAGATAACAGCTCATCCTTTGTTGACTACATATCAACCATTTCCATCTTATGTAGAGACAAAAATTTTGGACCAACTAAAAATTTTAGCAACAGGTTCCTAAACCTCTCATTTTAAGTTTTTAAGCAGTAAAGAACTCTCATTTTAAGTTTTTAAGCAGTAAAAAAGTACCTGCTCTCTTGTTTCAGTATGGCTCATTCTGAGAGTCCTGACCTATTTGGAAAAATAACTAAGTTGCTCATTTCCTAAAGTTTTAAAGCTAGCCCACAGAACCAGAGTTGAAAGGGCTATAATCTTTGGGAGTCTGTTTCTTTTCATAAACAGCAAGGAATTCCATTTCAGTATGATCTTTTTTCCCAAAAAAGGGAAGCTTTTTATGTTATTTCTCTCTAATAATGACTATAAAGTAGAAAGAATAACCCTCCTCAATCTTATCAACTCCCAGAAATAAGAAAATTTAACAGTTGGGCATATATTCTTCCAGACTTAAGGAAAATATAAATACACATATATGGCATAAGATCAGCATACGAACAAAGGCTATACATACTGGTTGGTCAAGTGGTAACAAGAGTGAAAGAAGAGAGGGAAAAAGGGAAGAAAAGTCCATCTGCCATCATTCCTTACTCTATTCCTATAGTGTATGGGTAGGATCAGATAAAGAAACTGCAGTAGGTTAGACACCAAATCAAGCTAAACATCTATGGATAAATGTGTACCTAATTTCAAGTAAACTAAAATGAAACTTTTGAAAAGCAAGGTTTATATCTTGCAAAATAATATCTATAATTAAAATCTTTTTAAAAATCACATTATCAAGGTTTACATTTGACTTGGAAAAAAAGAACCAATGCGTTAGGACTAGAACCCTGGAAGATGGTTTTGTCTCCACATCAGGCCATAGATTAAAAACTGTGAATCTGCAGACTGAGAAGAATGTTTATGCTGGTCAAAAATTAATATTTCATAGTAAATGACCAATAACTTTATAAGAATGTTAATCTGGCCTAAATGAGCAGAATCATAAATAATTATGAGACTTATCCTTGAGGTAACAAACTATTCAAATTAAAAGCCCGAAAAGAAGCCAATAAAAACAAATGGCTCTAAGCCAAAAAAATAACTTCTAAAATCCCTAGGCTAAAGGCATACATACATGCATGCATGAGCCCCCACCCAACACAGTTGGTAAATACATATTATGGTAAAAATTTAGATCAGATTTGGCTTAATTCCTTGCAAATTTTATTTCAATGATCATCCTTTAAAATTATGGAAAAGAGTTACTATTTCAAAAAAGTATATATGAAAGGTTTTACATTCCTTTTATTTGAATATCAAAGATTTAATTTTTTTCCCAAATTCACTGTCCAATCATCTTAAACTATCTAAAACTCTTCTTTGGGCTATTTTATGCTGTTAATTTTGGTTTCTGAAATACAAAAGAGTAAGGCTACAAAAACCAGGAACTAAATGTTACCTTACAGAGTTGTTGTTAAAAGTACATGTACTCATATATGAAATGCCTAGCAAAGTTTAACAAGAATTTAATAGCTGCTCAGTATATATAGTACTTATTAAATAAGTTAATAATGACAAAAATTAAGAGCATGATCCTTGAAACTAGAGATAAAGGTTCGAAATCCACCACTTAATAGTTGTATGATCTTAGCAAAGATAAAGTCTCCATTTTTTTAACCTGTAAAATGGTTTTTGGAAAGATTACATGAGATAACATATGTAAAAGTTTCACATCATAAGATACACAGGAAGCAATGGATAATCAATAACTATTTGCTTTCAAAAACTCCCTTTTCTGGGGTGCCTGGGTGGTTCAGCTGTTAAGAGTCTGCCTTCGGCTCAGGTCATGATCCCAGGGTCCTGGGATTGAGCCCCGCATCGGGCTTCCTGCTCGGCAGGAAGCCTGCTTCTCCCTCTCCAACCCCCCCTTGCTTGTGTTCCCTCTCTTGCTGTCTCTGTCAAATAAATAAAATCTTAAAAAAAAAAACAAAACTCCCGGGCGCCTGGGTGGCTCAGTTGGTTAAGCGACTGCCTTCGGCTCAGGTCATGATCCTGGAGTCCCAGGATCGAGTCCCGCATCGGGCTCCCTGCTCGGCAGGGAGTCTGCTTCTCCCTCTGACCCTCCCCTGTCTCATGCTCGCTCTCTATCTCATTCTCTCTCTCAAATAAATAAATAAAATCTTTAAAAAAAAAAAAAAAACTCCCTTTTCGGAAATCATGGCACTTTTAATATACCAGTGTTACTAATCCTTATCATGTTGGGTTATTGATCTGAATATCTACTTCTGTTTTTCCAGAAGACAGAAGCTCTTTGAGACAGATTTCATTTATTCACGATTCTATTTCAAGAATAGTGCCTACTGTGGCACCCAATAAATATCCTCAATGAGCCTGGCAAATTCACAGGCATCTTTAAAAACTAGCCCACGTATTTTCTTCTTCAGCAGCTTTCCTTGCTCCACTCAAATAATAAGAAGCTATATTAAGTGCTTATGCAAGGCAGCCACTGTGCCATGTCCTTTAAAATGCATGATCACTTACCCCCATAGCTCAGTAGAGGGAAAAAAAACTTAGATCTAAGTTCAGTGACTTGTTCAAGGTCATTCAATATGTAGATGGTGGAGCCAGAAATGAGACTCAGTTTCTTCCTGAGGGATCTTGACCACTATTTTATACCTCTGCCTCCAATCATCATCATCATCATCATCTTTACTAAGCTCTCTTAATGTACAAGGTATTGTGATTAAAAATACTTTAGATGCACTATTTTATTGAATTCTTAACCCTAAGAGTAGGCACTATTCCTATCCCCAATTTACAGAAGACAAAACTAAGTTAAGCACTCTGCATGGGGTTACACAGCTAAAAAGTATCCGTGAACTCAAATCATCTCATCCCAGAACTTGCAACCATTACCTGTATTATTTCCTCAACACCCCTCTGTCCTGCTGCTTCTTCATCCTCGTACCTAGGACTTCCCTGGGTCCTTACTTTTATCACACAGTATGTACCACTTATTTACAAGTTAATCTCCCCTAGGAGAACATAAGCTTCTTATTGTATCCCTAGTATAATATAACACAGGTCTGCATACAAAGAAAGTGAAGAATCAACAAATGTTGGCAGAACTCACATTTCTAGTCAATGATTTTTAAACTTTATAAGCTGTTGATAGCCCTTCCTCAAGTAAAATATTATTTAGAAGCCCGATATTATTAAGAGAAAAAACATAGCGCTGTGTGGGTTAAGTAGCCCAGAGACTCCATTCCAGTTCCACTCACCCCTCAACAAAACTATGCTATAAATTCACTTACTTCACAGGGGCTCGAGCATACACCTGAAGCCAGTCAGGAATTTCTGCAGTATGATATGGATTTGCAGGTACCAGAAGGGACTGATTTCTTTCGGTTTGCTGTGGCTGATATGTGACAGGAGGGGGTTGGTCATACCGAGGTACGCTAAGAAAAAAGAATCAACATTCATCAGGATAAAGGCTCTAAATCTAAATAAGAAATTGTAAAGAACAAATAATATTTAAATGTTTTTCAATGTGCCTCTTGCCCAAACTGAATTCCTTCTACCACCTAAAAAAACAGAAGTCTGACTTTTTTTTTTTTTCCTTACCACACCATAAGGTAAAGTAAAATCCACCTTCTCTTGGAAATTAGTAGTCATTAGTGATGGATATAAACCTAAGCTAAATCTTTACATATAATTTTTTAAGGATTTTTATTTATTTGAGAGAGAGAGAGAGAACAAGTGGGAGGAGGGGCAGAGGGAGAAGGATAAGCAGACTCCCCGCTGAGCACGGAGCCCAAAGTGGGGTTCAATCCCAGGACCCGGAGATCATGACCTGAGCCGAAGTCAGACACTTAACCAATTGAGCCACACAGGTGCCCAAAATCCTTACATATTTTTAAGAGATTTCTTCTGTCTGGTATTTATTCTTTTCAAGGAACCCGAAAGGAAGCTATAAAAAATTTGGAGCTAAATTACAACCTTTATACCAAGGCTTAAAACTAAAAGTAATAATTTTCAGTAATAACTAGTAATTAGCTGTAAATTTATATTGGAAAGGCTGATAGTTTCTCTCAAAATGAGAATGGATACTTTCTTCCTCCGTTAGGCTGAAAAGAGGATTTGGAATATGCAGTACAGTGGGAATGAGAACTGCGCTTCAATTTCCACAATAACCATTCTGCTTTTACCAAATTATGAGAACATATGGGAGTTAGAGTTGATTAGAACCATTTTAAATCACAGAGACTTAAAACAAAAAGAAAAAACAGACCATGCTTTTAATTAGTTCTAATGGCCTAACTGGTGGGACAGAGAGAACAGCAAGGTGGAGAGGCAGTTGTTATATGGGAAAATGCTAAGGAAAAAGCACTGAACCACTTGAAGCCTAAAGACTGAAATTTGGGAGGCCAAAGTGATCTATTCCAGAATAGGAGACAAAACTGGAAGAGCCTGCTCCACACATCAATATTTATGTGTACATCAGAAAAGGTCACTGCAATACTAACCTAGGATTAAGATAATTGTTAGACTGTGATTAACAATTTAAAGATCAAAGTCCAAATGGCACTGCAATTTTATATTTATCTCTTCTTTCATAAGTAGGTACAAAGTAGGTACAAAGTGAAATATCCTTTGATAGCACAATTGGGGGGTGGGAAAGAACTGAGGCTTTGAAGTCTCATATGCCTGAGAGTTAACCTTAGTTTGGCCACCTCATGAGTTATATGAATGTGGGCAAAACTGCTTTACTTCTCTAAGCTTCAGCCTTCTTATTTGTAAAATTGGAATAAATTCATACCAAAGATGATTGTTCTCAACAGTAAATAAATGAGCTAGTAAGTCAAGTGTTCTGTATAAAGATTAGCATAATAGAGACAATAAAAAATAGTTATTAATACTATCGATGCGAGCTTAAGAAAGGTGTTTGTTCTCTCTGGTTTAATGTCTACAGAGCTGCTAAGAGAAGCAAATTGTGAAAATGCCTTGTAAACTATAACAATTCTATAATAATGTAAGGTTACTGATGATAAACAGAAAAGTCAGCTCAATATACTCTCAAATCTGGTTGTGTGGACCACGGAGTCTTCTGCCACCTGGTGATAGCAATCTGTCATCATGTTTGGTTCTTTTTTTTCCTTTTTGCATTTTCCATCATTCTTAGTCAACAAACATCTGGCTGCATTCCCACTATGTGCCTGTGTGTTGGGTGCTGGGAGTTCCACTCATCCCTGCCCTTGGTGGGAATCGTGATCAGGTAGGAGGGGGCCTGAAAATGGAGGCTAGGGAGGCCAGCAGCTTGCCTGAAATGGTTTAGAGAGTAGGCAAAGGGACCAGAGCCCAACACAGGCAGAGCAGTTGGTTTGGTTCTTTTGAAGTGATGACAATTTCAGTTGTTCAATAAACACTGACTGAGGGCCACTAAATGGAATCGCTGGGAAAAGAAACTTTTCCAAACTGAATTAATAAATCCAAATATGTAAAATGATAAAATAATGATAAAGCTTAGTTTTCTAGGGTATAATATTAAAGTATATTTTCATAACAATTTTAATGGTTCTAAAAAATGCAGAACTCTGCTATAACCAAAGATTGTATTATGCTAGATGATACAAGGAACACCTATCAACGTGCTGATGATACTCTACCCATTTTAAATTTTATGGCTCAGAGGTAGTTAACAGGAATTTATTTGCTATTTCATGACTAAGCTAGTACTAGTTTTTTTTAAATGTACTTTGAAATACAGTGTGTGTGAATTTTACATTTATATACAGCACACCGCAATTTGGATTAATCACCTTTCAAGTGCTCAATAGCTACATATGACAACTGGCTACAATATTCACAGGGCTAAAAGTTTGGTCACATGAGACCTACTGATAAGCCCAAAGGATCACTGGCTACATTTATTAAACAGATCTGGGATGTTTTGTACAGTTCCAATTTTCTCTTTCACAGTAAGAAACAGAACATAGTCAGAAACTGAATAAAACAGCAAGATGCTATAATTCAGAAGTATATTATGACATATTAGGAGGGAGGTCTGTATTATTTATAGAATTTTAAATGGAAAGAGAGATGTTTTAATTATTTCAATTTCTGGGTATCTACAATAAAAACATTTTGGTATATTAAAGCAGAATCTGATCATACGAATACTGATTATGTTTTTTGAGGTTGTTTTACAAAGTTTTTTTTAATTTTTTTTTTTTTAAAGATTTTATTTATTTGATAGAGAGAGACACAGTGAGAGAGGGAACACAAGCAGGGGGAGTGGGAGAGGGAGAAGCAGGCTTCCCGCCAAGCAGGGAGCCCGATGCGGGGCTCGATCCCAGGACCCTGGGATCATGACCTGAGCTGAAGGCAGACGCTTAACGACTGAGCCATCCAGGTGCCCCTAATTTTTTTTTTTTAAGATTTTATTTATTTGACAGAGAGAGACACAGCGAGAGAGGGAACACAAGCAGGGGGAGTGGGAAAGGGAGAAGCAGGCTTCCTGCTGAGCACGGAGCCCGATGCGGGGCTCGATCCCAGGACCCTGGGATCATGACCTGAGCCGAAGGCAGATGCTTAATGACTGAGCCCCCCAGGTGCCCCAAAGTTTTTTTTTAATTATTAAAATCACTACTAAACATAAATCCAAAGAAAAATGTCATAAGCTTTCAAATATCAAACTTCAGGATGCCTTTCTCTTTGATGAAAATATGAGCTCAAAATCTAACATTAGACAATCTCAAAACTAAAAGTTGAAAATAAAATTGATACTATACCTAGGAGCACAGGGATGCCTATATTGAGCCTTCTTATTTGTGTGATCTACATAATAGGTTCCAAATTCTGATGACTCAACTCGCTCCCATCCTGGAGGAAGTCCTTCTCGCTCAAGAGGATGGCTCCAATGAGTTGTATTTGTGTTGTGATCTATATAGTATTTTCTCCCTCTCATTGTCCAGTCCACAGACCAGCCAGGAGGAAGAGGTAAATCTTCAGAACCATGGTTAGTTAAATTTCCTAAAGATGTAGCAGCAACTCTCCCAATACCTGAGGAGGAAGAGAGAAAAAGAAGGAATAGAACAATTATTCAAAGCTAAAAAATATGACATCTGGAGAAACAGTCACAAAATTAACTATCCTAATTATACTCTTCTGTTAAAATTCATAATTTTATAATTATAAGAATTTTCATAAAACTAGCCAGTATAACTAAAATTTAATTACAAAAAGAAGGAGGAACAAGACTCCCTCTTCAGAATTAGTTTTGGTTGATGCATCTATCACCAGGCTATACAAACATTTAACTATTAGCAAAGCTACTAAACATGTATACTGCTTAAAAGAAAAGTGAAGAAAATAAAATTTCACCACATTTAAGATTTAAGATTTGACATTTCAACTAAAACAGCAAAAATAAACTTGTAAAACTGTGTCCAGTTTATAATATCTTAAATATAATCTAGCTGTGCCCTAGAACCATTAAATAAATGTATCAAAGTAGCAACATGTAAGGTCAACATACAAAAGTCAATTAAGTACCTGTATATTAACAACAACTGGAAACAAATTATACCACTTATTATAGCTCCAAAAAATCAAATACTTACATATAAGTAAAACAGAATACAGACAACAAATTATGTGCAGAATCTGTACACTGAAAACTACAAAACACTGATGAAAGAATTGAAAGACAACCTACCATGTTAATGGATTGGAAGACTCAACATAGTTAAGATGACAACTCTTCCTGAAATGACCTTTAAGTTTAAGATAATTCCAATCAAAATTCCAGCAGGAGTTTTGTAGATACAGACAGAAACAGGCTCTAAAATGTATATGGAAAGGCAAAAGAACTAGAGAAGCCAAAAACATTTTTAAAAATAAGAATAAAGTTGGAGGATTCATGCTACCTGATTTCTTTTTTTCTTAAGTAATCTCTATGCCAAACGTGGGGCATGAACTCATGACCCCAAGATCAAGAGTCACATGGTCTACCAACTGAGCCAGCCAGGTGCCCCTCATACTATGTGATTTTTAAGACTTACTATAGAGTAATCAAGACAGTATGATATTGGCAAAAGGACAGACAGATCAATGGAACAAAGAATCCAAAATATACCTACACATACACAATCAATTGATTTTTAACAAAGGTAAAAAGGCAATTTGATTGAGAAAGGGTAGTTTTCAACAAATGACGTTGGAACAACTGGAATCCATATGCAAGAAAATTAATCACAATCTATACCTTCTACCTTCTTTTATAAAAATGAACTTAAGATGGATCATATATCTAAATGTAAAACATAAAAACTATAAATCTTTTAAAAGAAAAAGGAGGATAAATTTTCGTGACCTTTCATTAGATAGAGTTCTTAATCATGATGCTGAAAGTGTAATCCATGAAACAAAAATATTGGTAAATTGGACTTTATCATAATTAAAAATGTTTGCTCTATGAAAGACATTGTTAATAGAAAGAAAATCAAGCTACAGACTGGGAGAAAATATTTACAAGTCACAAATTAGACAAAGGATTTTTTTTTTTTTAAAGATTTTATTTGAGAGAGAGAGAATGAGAGAGAGCAGGAGAGGGAGGAGGGTCAGAGGGAGAAGCAGACTCCCTGATGAGCAGGGAGCCCGATGTGGGACTCGATCCCGGGACTCCAGGATCATGACCTGAGCCGAAGGCAGATGCTTAACCATCTGAGCCACCCAGGCGCCCTAGACAAAGGATTTTAATCTAGAATTCATAAAGAACTCTCAAAACACTAGGAAAATATTTTAAATGGGCAAAAGATTTGAACAGGCACTTCAAAGAAGATATATAGATGGTAAATGAGCAGATAAAAAATGCTCAAATCATATTAACCATCACGGACAGTGCTAATTTAAAAAAACCCTACAAATTAAAACCACAATGAAAGGACAATACACATCTTTGAGAATGGCCAAAAAAAAGGAAAAAAAAATCTGACAACATAAGTTGTGATGAGGATGTGAAGCAACTGAAACTCTCATACACTGCTGGTGGAAATGCAAAATACTTCAGCCACTCTGGAAAACACTTCAGCAAGGTCTTATCAAGTTAAATATGTTTTCCATATGATGCAGCAATTCTATTCCCAAATATTTAACCTAAACAAATGAAAATGCTTCTTCACACAAAAACCTGTATGGGGATGTTTATAGTGTTGAAAATGGAAACAACCCACATGTCCTTCAAGAGAATGAGTAAACCAGTACAATCATACAGCGGAATCTACAGTAAAAAGGAACTAATTATTGATACATGCAACAACATGGATAAATCTCAGAGGCATTACAGAGAGTGAAAGGAGCCAGCCTCAAATGTCTGTACATTGTATGATTCCATTCATATGAAATTATTGCAAAGGCAAAACTACTAGGACAGAAAATTGTGGTTGCCAGGAATTAGGGGTGCGGTGAAAAGACCAAGCAACTGTCACAGACCAAAGAACACTAACTACACAAAGGAACAGCAATGAGGTAATTTTTAGGGGTGACTGAAATGTTCTATAAACTGATTGTGTTGGCATTACATAGATCGATTGATCGATCGATCTATCTATATCAAAATTCACAGAACTCTGTACCTTAAAAAAAAACCCTAACTTTACTGTTTGTTATCTATCTATCTATCTATCTCAAAATTCACAGAACTCTGTACCTTAAAAAAAAACCCTAAGTTTACTGCTTGTTATCTATCTATCTATATCAAAATTCACAGAACTCTGTACCTTAAAAAAAAAAACCTTAAGTTTACTGTTTGTTATTGGGGGGGGAGGAAAGAATACCCTGGCTGCATCGTTTTATTCTCACAGAAGAATAGTAATTGTGTATAACTAATCACCCCAAACTCCAAGATTTAGTTTATTTTCATAGATTAATGACACAGATTGAGCTCTGCATGAGTTTTTCCTTGTTGATGTACAATCATCTTGATAAAAACTTCATTTAATTCAATATACATGTGAGAACTGCCAAAAGCATGTCAGAGCAAGAACAGTAAAGAAGTGGAGATAAGAACAGAGCACTGCGAAAAACTAGTTAGCCCAAAACACTACCCTGGTAATTTCTCCTTGTCCCTCCACAATCCTCCACCCTCTCCAGCAATGTAGGAGGTGATTTCAAATAACTGGTAAAGGAAAACTCAATTTGCTTAATATGTATAATAAGAATAGCACAACATCAATCTATAAGAAAAATTAGTTTTGCAAAAAAAAAAAAAAAAGGTACAAATTTATTAAAAAGAACATTCGGAAAAATGTCCCAAAGCAGAAAAAAAATGCAACTAAATTCTCCCATTAATTAAGAGAAAAAAGGAAGCAATCAATTCTCTAAAAGACCACAAAGAAAAGCAAGAATCCAAAAGATGGTAAGGCAACAGAGATAAAAGCTGTGCTCAGGAAAGAAAGAAAGATGAAGACAAAAACTGGAAGAACAAACATGCAGTGTTCGTTACAATGGAGAAACCTGGCAAATCTTAACCAAGTATGATCGTTAATATCACCAATAATGTCATATACATATACAAGTATCTCCCTATATTTGACATGATGAGGATACTTCACCTCTGTGCTTATTCTTTCCAAAAACCAAAAGCCCCATCTAATCATGAGAAAGACATGAGACAAAATCTAAATTGAAGGACAGTTCACAAAATATCTAGCAAGTATTCCTCAAAACTATCAAGGTCATGAAAAACAAGAAAAGACGAGGCAACTGTCACAGACAAAGGACACTAAGGAGAAATGACAACTGCGTGCAGTGTGGTACTCTGATTGGATCCTGGAACAGAAAACTGACATTAATGAAAAAACTGGCAAAATCCAAATAAAACTTGGGAGTTAATAAAAAATTCTTGAGTTCACAGATACTAAAAATAAAAACTCAGTTTACCTTTGGAGGTATCTAGGGTGCCAATTCATTATTCTAAAAACTAGTAAATAAAGGGAAAGATTTAGTATTTATCCTTTCTTATATGAATAGCAACCAAATAATTGATGAGACAGTTATTATAGAATTCCAACTAATCGAGAAGAAATGACAGAATTAGGGTATCGCCATTTGCAAAACCTAATGAAATACTGGATCTAGCCAATGATCATTAATGGCTGTCAAATCAACAGGGAAAAGGCCGATGGAGAACTTCATGATGAATGAACTGTACTGACATCTGATCCCATCATTAATTTTAGGATCAAAAAGAGAAATTAGTCATTATGTGCCTCTGGAACTGATGCAGCAGAATGTATACAACAGCATCTATGAACTATTTTGGCAAAAAGAGAAATGCAAGAAAGAAAATAAACACAGTCACAGTATCCTTTGAGAAGAAAGGCATATATTTCTAAAACATATGGGAACTACAGAACAAAACAAAGCTAACAAGCCTTTTGGTGAAATGGACCTTGGTTTCTGTCAAACTGCAACTGAAGGTTTATTTAATAAGTGTAGCTTAAGCAATTTCTGTACTTAAAGAAAAAATGTTTAAACAAAAAAGAAATAAGGCAATGTCTAAAGACATGCACATAGCAAATGACTTTAAAATCACATTTTAAAGCATGCAATGGCTTTATATTTTCTCATACTTCCATCATTAAAAATGTTGTATTACTGGCCATAACCAAGGATAGCAATTTAAAAAAATTAGAGTCAATTCACTGTACTCATACTGAGTTATTCATAAAAATGAAAACTTTTTGGCCCAACAGAGGTCCCCCTGGAAATACATAAACAGATTTCTAAATACAAACATTTTTAAAAACAAAAACTCTTATAGTAAAAAATAATAATAAAGTAATAAAAACTGTATAAGCTTAGAGATCAAAGTTGTGACAATTTTATTCATCTGCTTGGAAAATCCAAATTTCCATATACTGAACTTGCCTAAATCTAGAAACACATACACCTCTACATTTAAACAACATTAGGTACCAAACACCAGATTTAAACTATGATAAAATGTGAAATTCACATTTAGAGGAAACACAAAGACCCCTCTGTAAAAATTCATATTT